TACCTAATACTAAATTTAGTACTATTTACTACTTCTCGTACAATTAAAGTACACATTTACAAAACTAACTCTATATCTCAATTTCAGATATTAAGAGAGACCTCAATATTAAGGGTCTTTCGCCCAATACCAAATTTAGTAGCATTTGGTAATTGTCGCACAAATAAGGGGCGCACTTCCAAAACCATCTCAATCAACAATTGCAAAATGGACCCACATCCACTTTTTAGGTCTCAAACTATTTCAACGTCTGCATACGTATACAATACTAGCTGAACCCGGTGCGCTTCGCTACCCCTTTTGATTTTATATGCATTCAAAATTTTATTTACGAATATATGTTGGTTAAAAAAAAAAAAAAACAAATTTAAAAATTTAAAAAAAAACTATTGCACTACTTTAATGCGTAAATAACCAAAACCATTAGAAAAGCAGTAACATGACATACATACACGAAGTGTTTGTTCTTCGGATTTATTTATTTCATAGCAAATACCAAGCGTGCAGTAAACTGCAATTTTTTCAAGTTGAGTGGCATTTCTATTGCAATTAGTGAATTCGGGATAGTAACATACTTCGCCGTAATAAGCGTATTTCAAATAAGTTGTTGTGTTGTCTTTCAGTGTTAGCCTAAGGCGTTGTGGGTCAATGGTTCTTATTAAAATCATATCCCAATCTGATCCCATTTAAATATAATTTAAAAAAAATTACTTTTACACCAAACTCCGCTACACCTTTCATATTTCATTGAAATTGGTGCGTCAAATATGTGAAATCGGCCGAGAATATATATATGGGAGCCAAATTTAAATCTTAACTAATTTCCAATTAATTTATCACATTTATTATTATAACCAAATTCCGCCACACATTCTGAATTTCATTGGAATCGGTCATATATATAGTGTTTGGTGCATAATATGTATGAAATCGGCCGAAATATATATGTTAGCTATATCCAAACCTCAACTGATTTCAATATAATTTGGCAATTTTTGCTGGTGCCAGATTTTGTCTCTCTCTCTGGGTGCATCAAATATTTGAAATCGGCTAAGTATATATATGGGAGCTATAATCAAATCTGAGCGTATTTGAATATAATTTGCCAAATTTATTTTTATACCAAATTTAGCCACTCATGCCGAATTTCGTTGGAATCAAAAATACGTATCGTGTTTTGTGCATCAAATATGTGAAATCGGCGGAAAATATATATGGGAGCTATATCGAAATCTGAACCGATTTTAATATAATTTGACTAATTTATTTTCTAATCAAAATCCCGTTACATATTCCAAATTTCTTTGGAATCGAACATACATATCGTGTATGGTGCATAAAATACATGAAATCGGTCGAAAATATATATGAGACCTATATTCAAATCTGAACCGATTTTAATATAATTTGACGAATGAATATTTGTTTTAATTTCCGCTACACATTCCAAATTTCATTGAAAATAGAGATACATAGCGTGTTTGGTGCATCAAATACATGAAATCGGTCGAAATATATATGGGAGCTATATCCAAATCTGAACCGATTTCAATTTAATTTGACAAATTCATTTTGGCTCCCAATTCCGTTACTTATTTAAAATTTCATTACAATTGGAAATACATATCGTGTTTGGTCTACGAAATACATGAAATCGGCCGAAAATGTATATGGGAGCTATATCCAAATCTGAACCGATTTCAATATAATTTGGGAAATCAATTTTTTAGATAAAATCTATCACACGTTTCAAATGTCATTGAAATTGGGGATACATAGCGTGTTTGGTGCATCAAATGCTTGAAATCGGCCGATAATATATATGGGAGCTATATCCAAATCTGAACCGATTTCAATATAATTTGACAAATTTATTTTCGGATTAAATCCCGTCACACATTCCAAATTTCATTGGAATCGAACATTCATATTGTATTTGAGGCATCAAATGAACGAAATCGGTCGAAAATATATATGGGAGCTATATCCAATCTGAACCGATTACAATATAATTTGGCAAACTTATTTTTGTTCCAAATTCCGTTACGTATTCCAAATTTGGAAACTGTATCTTCAACCAATCAATAGATATGTGCATATAAAATCAAAATTTTTGGGAGGTACCTCCGATTCTGATGCTATATCTCCAGTTCCAAGTGGAAATTCAAAAATTTATATAGCCTATGTTACTTTCAGGCGATGTTGCAGTATATATGGAAATTTTCAGGAAAATCTATTCAGCGGTTTTCGAGTCCATAATTTACAAACAAACAAACAAACAAACAAACATACAAACATTTTCCTCTTTTATAGATATAGAGAAGATAAACTCTATTCCTTCAATCAAGATCAACTTTAGTACCACTTAGTACTTTTAGAACAATTATAGTACACATTTCCAAAACCACCTTCATATTTTAGCCACTGCTTTTATTTAAAAAGCAGTGACCTCTATATCGAATTTCAGGATTTCACCTCCAACCCTTCACCTAATACTAAATTTAGTATTTCTCGTACAATTATAGCACACGTTTACAAAATCAATTCTATATCTCAATTTCAGATATCAAGAGAGATCTCAATATCAAAGTTGAGGATTTCAGCCCTAACCCTTCACTCAATACCAAATATAGTACCATTTGCTACTTTTCGCACAAAAATGGGACGCATTTCCAAAACCACATCAATATCTAAATTCCAGATACCAATAGAGACCTCAATATAAATTTAGAGGATTCCAACCCTATTCCTTAACCCAATACCAAATTTAGAACCATTTAAAATGTTGGGTACAAATACAGGGTGCGATAAAAGAAAAACTGCAACAAAGTCAAACGCCATCATTTTTAATTTTATTGAATGAATGTCGGAAATAACATCAAATTTTAGAATAAGTTTAGATTTGTTCGAAATGATCACTTTTGGCACGAATTATGGGCTTGAAACGGCCAATGAAACCATCAAAATGCCCGAATGTTACTCTGTGGTATTTTGGCCCATTCCCGGCGAAGCGCTTGCTTGAGGTGATCGACACTTTGGTATTTGTTCGTGTCAATCTTGCTTTCTAAAATACTCTCGACACAATAGTCCAACGGATTGGTATCCGGAGATTTTGGTGGCCATTGTGCACTGAAAATGAAGCGATGAACCGCATCTTGTAACCATTCTTGGGTGGCGCGTGCTGAGTGCGATAATGCTGAGTCCTGTTGGAATGTCCAAGGTCTGCGGCCAAAATGTTAGCATGCCCAAGGTTTTAATACTCCCTTCAGATTGTTTTTGCGATAATATTCGGCATTTATTCTGACGTCGAATAGTACGAGCGGAGAGCGACCATAGGCTGCTATGGCAGCCCACACCATCACCATGGCCGGCGCTTTTTCAGCTGACCTCTTTGGCAAGTAAACACGATCATTATGTTTGTTTACAAACTGCTGGACAACGAATGTTTTCTCATCGGAGAAAACCAAATTCAGCAGTTCACCACTTTTGGCCAAGCGAAGCAACTCTTTAGCTCTTTTGGGTCTATTCTTTAGTTCTTTTTAGTCTATTTTCTTTCTGTTGCGGTGTAAGTTCTTGCACTTTTTGCAATTTCAATGGCTTTACCCCGAGTTCATTTTTCTATATTTGCCGAATGGAATATTGCGGTATGTTCAGCTCACGAGCCATTTTTCGGCCACTGCGACGCGGGTTTCGACCAAGTAGCTTCTTTACTTTTCCAACCATTTCTTCTGATGTTGCTGTTTTCTTCCGTCCACTTACTTGACGTCGGGCTACGCTACCAGTATCACGATAACGAGCGATGGTACGAGACACAAAAGATTTATTCACATTTAAATGCTGAAATGCCCTAGCGATAGCCACTTATGGTTTTCCAGCCAAATATAAAGAAATTACACCAAAATGTTTTTGTACGTTTGTAAACAATATAATGAGCTGCCACTAGAATAATTTTAATAGCTGTCAAACGACTGGCTTAGAAATGACAGCAGTCTGAAGTTGTTTGCAGTTTTTCATATCACCATGTATACCTTATCCGATTTCAATTTTATTGTGCACCAAATTGCTAATATTAGCCCAAATGGATTGAGTTTAGGCACTTCCGACAAAATTCAGCGCAGAAGCAAGTATTTCAAATTTTACACCTACATTTATGTTTCATCCGATTTGGTGTTATATTCCCTCAAATGCGTAATATGCGCACCACAACAATGATATTTGATACGGGTCATCAGATACAGCTCAGTTCTGATTTTTATATACATCTACATCCGATTTTACGGTTATTGTCCACCATATATGTAATGTCATCTCAAATTAGATACATTTTTATATTCAACCGAATTTTTCCATTTGATGAAACCCTCCGTCAAATTTGTGGAAAATCGTTTCAGAATTGGATATAGTTTCCAAATAATGGATATTTTAAAGCCATGATACGCCCCGCTCGACTTTTGACCTTTCCTTACTGTTCACTTTTAATACAATTTCAGGTAACGTTAAATAACAAACTCCTAATATGGCTAGAACGCACTTTTTGCCGACATTTTTTCTTTGTATCTGTGTTTTGTTTGTTTCGCACAAAACTTGTTCTAACGGGGGTCAATAAATAAAAGAACTTATTTGAGTGCTTTGACATAAGTTCATTGTGAGAGCTATATATATTTAAAATATTCAATAAATTTCCTTTGAAATAAAATTTATTTAAAGGTTGTCATCAATCACTTTAACTCAAATGTAGCGAAAATTCTGAAAAGTAATAAATAATTTAATAAAATAGTTTGATGCATTCTATGGCAATTCATTGAAATAACTTGAAGATATTTTTAGCACAATATTCGGCAGGCTACTGGTGCAATAAAAACGTCTAAATCCCTATCTTTCATCAACACATTTTCGATAAATTTTATTAAGACTTATTTATGCTGAAATTCGTTTGATATTTTACGATCCACAATTATTGCGGATTTTAAAGCTGACAACCTATCCACCTATTTACCAACATCGCGATCGCCATCACCAACTAGTTGGGGACAAATATACTCAGTTATAATTAGATATTCATTAGCATCCATATGCGAGCATGTTTAGATATTTTATGGGTTTTTGATAGCTCGCGTGTTAATTTTGGTTTTCAATTCGGTGAGTGTGGTGTGTATATATATAGCGTGTGAACGGTATTTGAAAAAGAAATGCAAACGAAAATATAAACATGTATTTGAAATGATCCTGTTTTGAAATAAAACGATGTTGAATCACATCGATGTGGTAAAAACACTATTTTGGGATTATTAATTATTAAAATTATGCGATTGAGACTTAATGGAAGTAGTAATAATTTTTGATATCTTGAATTGAAAATAATCTGCCAGCAAAGCGAAGCCACTTTCTAACTTGACGTGATTTCAAAGTATAGACTCATACTTTTCACACATACACTGTCATATATATGAATGTTTACTTTTCACATTGATTTTCTAAATTGATATAATAATTAATACAAATAAATGTTTAAACAATTTCATATAACAATCCAAAATCCGAAAACATTTGAAAATTATTCACTTATTTTTTATATATTTTTTTTGCAGCATATCAATCATTTCGATATTAAATCACATTAAGAACATGATTTATTTGCATGATTTATGTATAACATTATTAGAATAAAATACTTTTTCCAGTATTATTCAAAATTTATGGTTATCCTTGGTGAACGTCTCTACAAACCCGGCGACGATGATGTCATTCCAATTTATTTCGTCTTGTTTTCTGATGCTTTTGATTTGTTTCAACTTCTTTGAGAAAAAATAACAAAACAAACATATTTATTTATTTGAAACGTAAAAACAACGATATTTGTTTGAAACATAATTACCAATTGATTCTTGGAATGTTTTCAAACCGCGACGTCGTTGTTGTTACGCAGACATTCGCTCATACAAATATACCTAAAAAAAAATCATTATAATTTGTGATGCCAAGTACTTATTTTTTTAATCGCATGAAAAATATCCGGAAATGTTTTATCAATAAATGGCTTAAAAAAAAACAATTAAATTAAATAAACTGTGAATCAATTTTGAATTCAACATATTCAAATCATTCAGCGCGTCAACAATACTTATTACTAAATGGTCGGAATTTTGAAGTTTATGGGACGATCTCTTTGATGTAAAAAAAAAAAACAAGTTAAAAAGTGTCAGTCGGTATTGCCGGCAGATATATACCCTCAGCCTGTGTTCGATTATTTAAATATAATTTGACTAGTGCTGCTATGGAGCAGGTTCCCAAGGAATGGGCCAATATTGTCCATTTCATATCGGACCCAAATATATGAAATAAATATTCCGACGACCCTTGTATGGATTATATCGACTCACTTCTTCACTTTATATGAGACTAGCTGGCCCGGTCCGCGTTGCCGGCCCGTAGTTTTTGTCTATTATGCATATATTCCCAAGCATAACTATTCACAGATATGACTGATATAAGTGTTCACGTACATGTCGATTTAAAGTGTTTTAAAATACCTGTACCCATTTTTAACCAGTGGGCTTCAATATTTAAACCGTGGGCTTCAACTGTGTGGATGTGCTATACAAATCTATTAAAAAGTATATATCAATCTTATCGCCATATAAGGGATCAAATTAATTTTTAATATGGTAAAAATCGTAGCAAAATCTTCCAGTCAAATGAGCAGTAATTTGGAATTTGCTGTATTTTGTATACTACATAATTGAGGGCTGAATGATTTAAGAATAGCCAAAGTTAATTACTTTTTTAAACCCATTAGCAACTTAGATTGTGCATTAGAGTCCTCATAAGTCCCCCTAACCATGCCAGTCTGTTTGTCCGCCAAAAGGTGGACTTGAGAGGGTATTATAACATGAATAAAAATTCTAAAATTTGAAGATATGTTGAAATTTTAGTGTAAGATTTTCACCCCCCTAATACGCATTATTAGCCAAATTCTTTGAAATGTGGTTAAATTAGGAGGTACCTTCTTTATATGGGCACTACTCCGAAACATCGACCTACATTGAAAACTTTCTTCTAGCCCTTATAATCCAAGATGACAAATAGAGGCCAAATCAAAAATATAGCAGAACAATATAGCATGTCATAGCATTTCGCGTGATTTAAATAAGTAAAAACAGTTTTATCCACCTCATAATTGCGGGCAGAATGATAAGATGGGAATTAATTTTATTTGCCATTTAAATTGTAAGTTGGAGACCCCTTAAAGTCCATATTTTCATCATAGGATAATTCAATGATGATTAAACAAATATTCGGTCCCGTGCTACTTTATTATATTTGTAATTTGTTCATGTTTCCACAATTTATTTCATATGGATGCACATCCCAAATCTACGTTCCCAACCAATATTCTCTTGGCGGTTAAAAATTCAATAGAATACAAAATTTTCTTTTCTGACCACACATTAGATGTGAAAGTGGACTTAGGGATACTCCAATGTGGGGACTCTACTTAAATAAATTCCTATGTGGCAATTATCTGTATGATGGTTCCCTACCCCAGGGTGGCATAAATAAAATTTTTTAGCCAAATCAATTGATGAATGTGGTCAATACCAATATGGGCCCTACTCTGAAAATTTCAAATTTTATGCGAAGAGGTTATCTACCCCCTTAGAAACAAAAATGTCAAATAAGGGCCAAGAAATGAAAAAAGTGGCCGGCCAAGACCCCAAAAATAACTTAAATCATAGATGGTTATATAAATATGAAATCGGGTTGTTCCCTTATCCATGAGTTATAATCGATATAAAGACCTGCAAAAGTGATTTTAGGTATTTTGAATGTTTGGGAAGAATTTTTGGAAGGATATAAAACCTTTTCTTACTAAAAGTCCCATTCGCTCTACTATTTTGCACCTTTTATTTCAATATTGGTATATTACTTATTATTCTCCCAAAGAATTTTGCATTTTGAGCTCTCATTGGACGGATCATTGTCACGCTTTGAAATGAGCCCCATTAAGCTTTTTCTGTCATTTTTGTTTGTTTAAACGTGTTCGCATCTTCCAGCTAACCCACGATGTAGGCCCTGGAGTTGAAAGGTAGATGTCAGTTAACATCCTATTTCGCACTTATTTAATTTTTTTAGTGAAAAATTATTCTTTATTTTGTTCACAAAAAAATACGACAAAAAAAGAGTAACAAATTGAAAAAGTCTTCAACTTTTTCGCTGATTTTTTACAGCAAATGTTTTAAGATCCTTCCTTACAAAGTTTGTCAATAGAATGTACTATTACTTTAAAATTCGATTCCATTGAAAATGTTTTTTTTGATTTTTGCAATGAGATCTCTTTTTCATGATTTTTCAGCGATTTTGAAAAAGTAATTATCTTTTAACTTTGGTGTGACCGCGTTAAATTATTTCGATATCATCTATTCCGTTTCGCCACCACATAATTCGCTACTACACTTCCATGTAACCCGCCATCAATTTCAGTTCTCAAGAAATCAAGTCAATTAAATAAATTGGTATAAATATTCGAATTCAAAAATAAAATATAAAAAAAACACTACAAATGTACATTAGAAAAAAGTAAGTCAAAATGGAAAAAAATCATGCAAAATAAAACATTACTATTGTACATTTGAAAAGTCAAAATGAAAATGTTAATATATCACATTTTTACGCGATTTTTTTGGATATTATCCTTTTCGGAGAGTAGACAACTCCGAATTTGTGTGAATCATTAAAATTAATCCAGCGGTTCTTAAGTTATAAGCGTAGTAACTAACACAACTTACATTTATATATATAGATATGTAATAATATTTAGAAAGTGTTAAAATGTGCCTAATTTACAAGATAGAGTCTACCGAAATATTCCACTTTAATACTTCATCTGATACAAATAAAAAATATTGAGCGAAATATTGGCCAAAATTACAAGAAAGGATATTTATGTACAATTTTATGCTAAATCATAAATACCGAAAAATTTCATATTCATATCAGGCTTCTTATTGAGAGAAATATTTGAGAATAGAAAGTAGTAAAGTATTGCTAAATTGTTACGAAAGTTATAACAGATATAATTATTGAAAATTGTGACTCCAGAAGGGGTAGGCAGATATATATCAACTTCAAAACAGATCTTGTTTTAGCAAAAATATTTGTGTGTGTGAAATCTACATCCCATTTAAGCACCAGATCTTGGGTTTATAAAAATATTGAAATGTGTGAAATTTGAAGACGTTCGGATCCTTACATTACATTATTTAAGAGTTATAATTATTCAAAATGTTGACCCTTTGTGGGGGAGGTACTTGGTGGAGTGGACCGATACTGTCCATTTTCGCACATGACCTAGCACTGATGAAAATATGAGGATTTGCAAAGTTCGAGCAAAATCGGATTATCGTTTCTCTTTTTGTGCAAAAAATATTTTTTGAAAATTTCGACCTTTTGTGGGGGAGGTACCAGAAGGAGTAGACCGATACATTCCGATACATTTTTGCACCAGACCTTAGGCTAATAAAATTATTGGGATGTGTGGAATTTGAAGACTATCGGACTCTTACATCACATTTTATAAGAGCTTTAATTATTCAAAATTTTGAGGGAGGTCCCTGATGGAGTGGACCAATAATGTCCATTTTTGCACACAACCTAGCACTCATGAAAATATGAGGATTCGCAAAGTTCGAGCAAAATCAGATTATCCTTTCTCTTTCTGTGCAATAAATTATTTTCTTTGAAAATGTTGACATGTTGTGTGGGAGGTACCAGAAGGAGTGGTCCGATATTGCCCATCTCCGAACTCGATCTAAGTTTGACAAAAATATTACGATGTACTAAATTTGGACCAAATCGGATACTCCCTTCGAGAGTTATCGTGCGCACCAGCCAGCCAGACAGACAGACGGACGGACGGACATCGCTAGATCGACTCCAAATGTTCTGAAACGGATTTGGTCCAAAGAGACCTAGGGTCTAAAATCGTTATTTCGACTAGGCACGTTTTGACCGTATCAAATGATATATACCCTCTGTAGCCATATGGCTGAGGGTATAAATATGGATCGAACTA